TTAGCCAACGTTTTCAGCTCAGCAACGAAACAATCGACCGACTATTGTTTTTAGCGACCACAAGCCGCTAGAATCAATTTTCCGCTCGCTGCCACCATGTAATATTATGAAGGACACACACGGAGTAAAACGAAATACACTTTACTCGAGCTCCACGCGATTACAACTGAACTTCGAGCTATAACAGAATACTAAATAGGCTAAAGCACCGCGGGAACAGGTCCCTAGAGGCACGTGCTAATGCATATTATAACAATACGAGAGGTAATTCATCATTTTTTCCCAATGACAGTGTGGTGTTTTTTGGTTTCTTTAGTGAAATGACATTTCTAAAACGAGGCGGTTTTCAGTAGAGCGACTAACAAAAAATAGAGACAAGTTTTGCAAAATAAATGCAGCTATTCTCGCTTATATTCTTCGGTTTTATTCACGTCAATATTTTTTCCAAATGCCCAGTTAAGCTGCCAAGTTAATTATTACATTTTGTTGAAGTTGAATTTTAATAGTAAAAGGGAGTGCATCTATACAATGTGCTTGATGACTTCTTTGAATTTAAAGAATGCATGACGTCAGTAAAAGTTGTGGACAATGTCAGGAGACTTGATCTATTGATGACTCGTGGGCGTTAAGTAAACAAGGCGATCCCACATCAATTAACGTCATGGAATAAAAGGCTTTTTTACCTTAACCAGCGTTGACAGGGAAACGAGTAAGTCTCTAGCAACCAATTTATTCTAGTAAATTATCTGTTATTCCCAGCGTTGATTGCGGCTCGGATAGTTGATTCCAAGATATATGAGCAATTTTGCGGCGTTGAAATTGGTAATTACTACCACTACACAGTGTTTTCTAGAGAAAATATAATTGCTTTTTTCTGCAACATTTGCAAGTTGTTTCGTTCTGCAGTAAGTTACTAGTAGGAAATTATGAATTAACGGGAGAAAAATTAGGCCGAATACGTAAAGTGAAAGCCAATAAATTCCTAGTAATTCGATAAAATGTTTTTTTTTAAACCCTAAAATAGATGAAGTTCGTTAATTGGGTATTGATCATAAAACCTCACTTCGGAATTACAGAAAGTAGCGAATCCGATTTGGCTGTGCTAAGTGTGCCTTCAAATAAACAATTTGAAATGGAAACCCTACGAATATGACGACAAGATTATTTTAGGCGTCAGTAAATTTATACATTGAGTCCACCAATGGTCAAATCGGCAAGTAACGTGATACTCCGCTCAAGTCAAGGCCGAGTGTTTCGCTTTCTTGTCAAACTATTCAATATTTGCGGTTGTTGACTTTGGTCAGCTGGAAGACCCATCTGATATGACGTAACAGTAAGGCACTTGCGTCACTGTTACGTCGTGCGCGTTACTGCTCGCCCCACATTGCTTAAATATTTTCGCATAAGAGCAAAATAAATACAAGATAGGAAAGAGTAATATCAAAATTTAACTTCTGCGAGAGGTTCACTCAGATAGCAAGCAGTAAAATTTGATTCAGGTTGGCAGGCAGGGGAGCCTAAGGGTTGAACAAAAAAGGTAACGTATGTATTGTCGAAATCTCTTTAATTGCTTGAATAAAATATCTTTATCACAGTAATAATAAGCTTACCTTTTACTCTGAGACATTTTGGCGTATCTTGTAACGTTGTCAGTTATTACGCAAGTCTCATGACGTTTTGGCGAGTACGTGGGACGATTGAAAATCTAACATGATGAGAAAAATGCGGCGAGATCACGACTCAAAACGTCTGATGAGAGATTTATTACCCAACGAATTCTTTCCCCTTAAATCCTGATTTTGAAACATTTTAGCTTTGGTGTTTAAATTGCGCTGCTAGGATAACAATTAAGAGGGTTACAGGAATCCTGTGAAACGGTCTCCTAGACGTACAGATATCGTGAGATATCATTTACACTCGTTTCTCGCGTTATTTGAACCCTGCTGAATCGATTTAGAAAATAAAAGGAAGACATGGATCGGGAAAAAAATGGATATTGTAGTTCAAAGTAATAATACAGTATACCGTGTTGAATTCTATTCATGTAACAGGACTAAAATTTTATATTTTTAAAAACCGGCAACATATCTACTTAAGCATACACAAACTAAAGATATATATTGGTGTCCGCTGTTTCAACTGACTGAAATTGGTTCGTTTTTCAGTACAGCGAGGCCGGTTTAAGGTCAACAGGAGCTAGTGAAAAGGAGTCCGAGAGCCTTTGGAATGACAAACAATAGAAAGAACCTTTATTATTGTAAAAGAGAAGAATGATTCTACTTGATAATTACCAAGATAAACCTCGAACGATTCACAGAAAATCTGTCCTTCGTTGAAATCGTAGTTTGGGGTCATTATAACGACATACTTGGTTTTAAAAGTTATGCGTTCCTATTAAAAAGCTATAATACAGGCATGGTGCCAGAACATTATTGGCCATTCTTCTTTATATCGTTGCCCATAGTTTCAGCTGGTACTGTTACTGTAGTCTTTCTCTCAATGGACCCTCCTCTAAGTTAGTGCGTTTTCCTTGTTTTCACTCTGCAAATAAGATTCTGAGACGGAAATCTCTGAGTGACTTATAATTATAGATGACCAGCCGTCAAAACCGCCCACTGTCTAGATACTTAGAATTTTTCTCCCACAAATGCTCGACAAGGTATATAGGTGAAGACTGAGATAGCCGGCGGGTAAAATAGAACTGAAAGGGCATCCACAATTAACCTCTCTTGGTGACACTCCTTACAGCATGGGAATCTGTACCCTTTTAAAGGCTAGGTAAGTTATGAATAGAAGTCGAAGTTTTTATCGCTCATAAACGCGCGCGCTGATCAATCATGTGTACTTCCAATTAATGGAACCCCAGCAGTGGAAAACCAGAAGCTTCTTATGTTAAGTTTGTTGGGAAACGACGAATGAAAAGAGGGATGTTGGCCCACCCGGCAGTGCAGTCTAGTGCGGGTTATGTAACTAACTACAGTTCATTACGGCCGTGTTAGTTTGTGACTCCTGCGGTTTCTTTCTTTCTCTTGTTTCCAAATAAAATCTGACCACATCTGCAGGGTAGGAAAGCGTTCGTGTTTTTCTTTTCAGTTAATCCTCATCAGATTCGTTTACTTAGCTCAGTGTGGTAATTTATATACATATGGCATCACAGCTGCGGTGTATTCGCACATCATGTTGTTTCCTAGCGCTGCTAATCTGACTGGCGAAACTGAAAAGAAAGTAGGCTCGGCTTCAATCGTTTTTACTCTAGTGAAATCGATTCAGGTGAAGCGATAGAACGGACGTCAATCTAAGGACAATAGAATTTGTTTTCAAGCTTAAAAATTTAGCTATGGGGGTCAGTTCAGAACGACCAACTGCTGTCTACTGAAACTGAGTTCTATCAGTTTTGTTACGTAATGGCGGTTTGATAGTGTTTTACTTATTTATCGAAAATAAAAACCGATAACGTTCAGTGGAAAGTCGTCTCGGTCCAAATTGAGTTCTAGTTTTCGATATAATTTGGTTCAACTTCCGATCTTTTTTAATGTGGGGACGACGTTTTCTTCTATTTTCAGCCAATAAACTTCAAAGTATCACAGAT